GGCAATTTCTCGCTTGGAATAGCCTTCATTTCTCAGAACAAGAATAGACTGACGAGTTTCAGAAGAAAGTTATTTGTTTCTGGCCATTTTGAGCCTGTAATCGAACCCACAATTGCTGATGCTCCAGATACTCAACTAGTGTTAAGGTTGCCAGTTGTATTGCTTCTTTAATCAGTACAACAGTGTTCAACTGTGCTAACATAAATTGCAAAAGGGTTTTCTAATGGTCAATTAGCCTTTTAAAATTATAAACTTGGATTGGCAAACACAACGTGCCATTGGAACACAGGACTGATGGTTGCTGATAATGGGCTTCTGTACGCCTAGTAGATATTCCATTAAAAATCAGCCGTTTCCAACTACAATAGCCATTTACACCATTAACAATGTCTACACCGTATTTCTGATCAATTTGATAATATTTTAATGGACCAAAAAATTGCTTTTCTTTCAAAAATAAGGACATTTCTAAGTGACCCCAAACTTTTGAACGGTAGTGTATATGTTGAATTGTACCCACAAAGGTTGTTAAAAAATCTGTTTGTGATGCAGCGCACTAAAGAAAAACAATGTTTAGGCCTTTCATCTGAATTCAGGGTTAGCTTCCAATTGACAACAATTCCTGGCGAAAACAACACACAACACGGCTCTAGCTGCCTGCTTTTAAATATTGCAAGGTCTTTTAAATTATTCAACGGCACTTCACACTTGGGATTTCTGTCAATCAGGCCTGGGAGTTGACCCCCCTTCTCGCTTGGGGCAGTTGGAAATCTCTCTTTCTCACTCTGTTTCGCTCTTTCACTCTCTCTTGCTCTCTCCGTCTGTCTCCATCTCTCTCTCCCAAGGGAGGTCTTCACCGAGGTTTCTCCAGTCATTATGGTATTCAGGTGTTGACTAAAATGCTCCATCCATCAATAGTGGTCAGGGACTGGCAATGGTATACAGCTACAATGATTCTGTATAGAAATAATACATTTTTTGGTTGACACCAAAAAAGGGTCAATAAGTGATATAGGTACAGTGAGGGAAAAAAGTATTTGATCTCCTGCTGATTTTGTACGTTTGCCCACTGACAAAGACATGATCAGTCTATAATTTTAATGGTAGGTTTATTTGAACAGTGAGAGAAAGAATAACAACAAAAAAATCCTGAAAAATGCATGTCAGAAATGTTATACATTTTTCATTTTAATGAGGGAAATAAGTATTTGACCCCTCTGCAAGTACTCGGTGGCAAAACCCTTGTTGGCAATCACAAAGGTCAGATGTTTCTTGTAGTTGGCCACCAGGTTTGAACACATCTCAGGAGGGATTTTGTTCCACTCCTCTTTGCAGATCTTCTCCAAGTCATTAAGGTTTCGAGGCTGACGTTTGGCAACTTGAACCTTCAGCTCCCTCCACAGATTTTCTATGGGATTAAGGTCTGGAGACTGGCTAGGCCACTCCAGGACCTTAATGTGCTTCTTCTTGAGCCTTTGTTGCCTTGGCCGTGTGTTTTGGGTCATTGTCATGCTGGAATACCCATCCACGACCCATTTTCAATGCCCTGGCTGAGGGAAGGAGTTTCTCACCCAAGATTTGACGGTACATGGCCCCGTCCATCATCCCTTTGATGCGGTGAAGTTGTCCTGTCCCCTTAGCAGAAAAACACCCCCAAAGCATAATGTTTCCACTTCCATGTTTGACAATGGGGATGATGTTCTTGGGGTCATAGGCAGCATTCCTCCTCCTCCAAACACGGCGAGTTGAGTTGATGCCAAAGAGCTCGATTTTGGTCTCAGCTGACCACATCTTTCACCCAGTTCTCCTCTGAATCATTCAGATGTTCATTGGCAAACTTCAGACGGCCTTGTATATGTGCTTTCTTGAGCAGGGGGACCTTGCAGGCGCTGCAGGATTTCAGTCCTTCACGGCGTAGTGTTACCAATTGTTTTCTTGGTGACTATGGTCCCAGCTGCCTTGAGATCATTGACAAGATCCTCCCGTGTAGTTCTGGGATTATTCCTCACCGTTCTCATGATCATTGCAACTTCACGAGGTGAGATCTTGCATGGAGCCCCAGGCCGAGGGAGATTGACAGGTCTTTTGTGTTTCTTCCATTTGCGAATAATCGTACCAACTGTTGTCACCTTCTCACCAAGCTGCTTGGCGATGGTCTTGTAGCCTATTCCAGTCTTGTGTAGGTCTACAATCTTGTCCCTGACATCATTGGAGAGCTCTTTGGTCTTGGCCATGTTGGAGACTTTGGAATCTGATTGATTGATTGCTTCTGTGGACAGGTGTCTTTTATACAGGTAACAAACTGAGATTAGGAGCACTCGCTTTAAGAGTGTGCTCCTAATCTCAGCTCGTTACCTGTATAAAAGACACCTGGGAACCAGAAATCTTTCTGATTGAGAGGGGGTCAAATACTTATTTCCCTCATTAAAACGCAAATCAATTTATAACATTTTTGACATGCGTTTTTCTGGATTTTTTGTCTCCTGTGGGACTGTGCCAGCAAACTGCACTTGTTCTGGCTTTCTGTCCCAAAGCTCTCTCTCTCCATGTCAACCCCTTTGTGATGTAAAGCTGCAAAAAGCTGCAAAGATGGACTCAAAAGATGGCCATTGATATATTGACATACTAAAATCAAAGAGGAAATATTATATTTCAATAGTGCTTTAATTAATGTTAGAAAACAGACAATGTATAGGTTTTTGTCAGGAGTTTCAATACAGGTCTCTCTAGTGTTTTGAAAGTGCTGTTGGGTTTTGGGTTCACGCATACAGTACATACTGTCTGTGCAACACAAATACTTCATAATGAACGATAGCTAATGAGACACACAGCACAATACAAAGTAGTTTTTTTCATGATATGAGATCATGCTGCAATTTTGTTAATTAAATTGACCCTTTGCTGAAAACAAGACATTGTTTGTAAGTACAGCATTCTTACAGCAACATTAAATCAGTATGAAGTGGTATTGTTACAGTCGGTTATTAATTGGAATATCGCAAAACATAATTCTATAATGACCTATGGGTTCTCAGAAGGCTATACCAATATAGAATGTAAAAAGTGACTCAAACTTTCTATAAGAACTTTTTGAATCAGTAAAAATAGTACATTATACTAGGCACCTGTGGGTAAACAGAAAGGTGGGCACTTCATTAGAACAAACTTCATTAGAACACAAAACTGCTAAACATAATAGTATAAACATTCCATGTGAAAAATCACCATTCATCTACCAATGTAGCCCATGATTCACAAAACCCCATTTTGGCTTCTGTCGTCTGTGAAGACAAACATATTAAAACACATGCATTTCAAAAATACATTCGTTAACATAATAATGGTGTATCACAATTACTCAATTAGAATTAATAATGTGTTTAATAATCATAGACACTCGTCAGAAACCATGGTGGGGGAGTGAATCGTTTCTAACTTATTTTCTTAACTGTCCTTTGGTATTGCTGTAAACATTTTCAGCAAGGCCTAGAATAAGGCTTTTATTTGTCTTGGAGCAAAATGTTTACAATTACAAACTACAGAAACGTTGACTACACCTTGACCCGATTATGTAGTCATACCCAAAGATCATATACAAAAGATATGGAATAACACATACAACCATAAACAAAGGAACACATGTAATCAACTGCAAGAATGAGTAAGGGTAGATCATTTGAAATGCTAATGTTTAAAATAAGCCAGATATATTTTCTAACAGAATACTCCCTGAAAAGAATAGAAACAGAAGTTGGTGATTACAACAAAACTCATTCAACAGTATCCCTTATATGATAAGTTCATTGAAGCATGACGTTTCTGGACGGGACCCTGCTTTTCAATGAATTTCCCTCAGCATTCGGGAGAGAAAAGGCAAAGGGGTTGAAGTGAAAACAGACTAAAAGAGAGATTACAATAAAAACTGATCATGGGTCAGCGAAAAAGGACAGACATCGCAGTGTCATTGTCCATTAACATCCCAGACACACTATTCAGTGCCATCCTCTTTCACCAATCAACCCCTTTCTAATAGGATATTAAATACAGTAAACATCAACTTGGTAAAACGTCCATTAGTAGCAACGTTAGGCCATAGTAGCAGTCCTTTGTTTATCTTATCCGTCCACTGTGTAACCTTGTTAACAGGAATGACTGGCTCACTCTGTCCTCTCTATGTCCCGATCTCAAAATGACCCCTAGATCCTACAGCCTATGCACTTGTAGAGATCAGAGAAGATTTGACTGGTATAAGCAATATGGTGAAACTTCCACCTAGCTAGCCTATCAGAGGGCAAGATGGAGCTATTACCATATTACTTACACCTGTCAAATCCTCTCAGATCTCCACAAGTGCATAGGGTCTAGGGGTCCATTTGGGATTGTGGCTCTGTTTGGCCAGAGATCCACAGACGGTCTACCACTGCTCCCAGCTGAAGTCGTCTCCCCCTCCAAACACCAGGAAGAAGCCCAGGATGGTGAAGAAGATGACAGCGTTGCTGGCCATCACCAGGCCACAGGCCCCCCACTGGATCTGCAAGAGAACAGGATCATGTTCATTGGGCACCAAACTGAAGAAAACGAACTGAAACAGGGATGGACTACCTGGACTTGTCAAATAAGAAAGGTTCATTTTGATTCTCTGTTGCAAAACATTTGAACACTTTTTCTGTTGTGTGACATTATGAACACGACCTAGATAGAGCACAACTGGTGAATGTGTCTTAATTGCATTTATTAGATGTTAACTACAGCTCTGTTGAAATGTAATAAATAGGTGTACTAACCACCTTCAGTCACCTTAGCTAGTATAGGGTATCATCGGGACTCGTACCATCTACCCTTCACAACTACATGTAATCTAGGATCAGCTCTCCCTACTCAAGTCATTATAACCATTATGAGATTCAACACTTAAACTGACCCTGAACCAGTTATTCATGGCATAAAGCAACTAAACCCAACACATGACAGTCATTGACCATATCAGTTAGGACTCACTAATGCAACCCGGGCCAGTATGATAGGAAGCCCAAACGCAGATACCACAATTCCCGTAGTGAAGAAGTATGCCAGCTCTCTGCATGCGTTGCTGGCCACATCACTGTCATCACTGAGCCTTCTGGATATGAAGGTGGGGATAGGAGAGAGTACGTAGAAGAAAAGGACGAAGAGAGGCCAGTACACCCTGTGAAAACAAATCAGTTGTGCTCATTTTCATTTTGTTTATTTGTCAGAGATCCAGAACATAATATAGCAATCACCATCAGTGTAACACCTCTTGCAGGTCTTTAACCCGGATCACCCAGCCCACACGCAAAACAACTAACCACTGCTCCAATAGGGTTAAACACCTTGGGGTAAAACGTGACACTAATATAGGTATTGCATTGGAGTTAGTTACATAGCTAACTTCCACATGTTGTCCCATTTACCAAGAGTGTCTCACAGATTTCAGAGGTAGGGGGCAAATACGTACCCATATTGATCCAGTGCACAGCTCAACAGGAGGAATGTCAATCCAATGGCTCCAAAGAAGGACAACCCAACCAGCGCTATAGGATGACAAAAACAGAGATGTTGATGCAGTTATAACTTTTAGAGACAGGGTACTTAGCAGGATGGATTCTACTCAATAGTCTACCACTCTAAGGAGCCAAATGTCCCATCCAGGGCCAGGGAGTTAAGTAGGCTAACATTTGCAACTTATAACAGTGTATTATACTAATAATAAGGTTCTGCCATCATGAAAGTAAATAAAAAGACAAATGTTACAGACACAATTAAGTTACATTATCTTAGGTAGTCTCTCAAGAAAGAGTTTGTCCACAGTTTTCAGTGTGGATTGGCTTCCATCCCCCTCTATTGTGAAATTTTAAGCACATAATTATCAAGTAGCCCAATAAATCGTATTTGAATATACATTGTAGGGAAATTCACAAGTAAACTGTATCCTTTTATGTTTAATTTCAATACTGGACAAATTAACATGTAAATGTATTTGTGCACCGTCAATGTATCACAACAAAGAAAAAGTGATATGTGACAGTAACAAGTGGTCGTACGTGTACTCGATACAATCAATGTTGCACTTGACTTGCCAGTGGCGGGAAGAAACGTTTATGGAAACAGGTTAGAGTTTTGTAGAACAAGTGTATATATATATTGTTTTACCTTTAATACCCGCCATAGTCTTAACATTTATTTCAGTTTCTCTTCTTTGAGCTTTGTTTGTTGTGTCGACGTTCGAGACTACTTCCTATTTCCTCCTTTAAACTTTTTCTTTGCATCAGCTGACTTTCTTAAAGGAGCTGTTTCTATTTCTCTCTATAGACGGGTTGGTTGGTTATTTAACAACAATACCAACGCGGGCGCAACAATGTGGCAATTCAGACAGGGTAGGTTTAGATGGTTGACAACTATATTTCGTCTCCAAATGTTTATTGAAAACTAAAAATACATTTTCACAATGAACACTTGTCTCTCAAATACATCGTTACAGTGTTGGTTAGTTAGCTAGTGAATTTTAGCATTGACATGAAATCAGTCAAAACAAGACATGTTATGAAGAACAAGATTAAACTAAAGGTATGATGCCCCACATGGCAGCTTCTTTGTTGCTAGCTTTGTGGCCACTCAGAATCATAACAAAGCATGTCATCCAACCAATCTATTTCTACTGTATTTCTATTTCAGAATTGTATGAGCACAACTAGAGTATGTTATGGACCAGTGCACAGAATAATAACTGGTATGCAATACATTTATTTAGTCCTACATTGTCATAGAGACTTTCAGAATGTTTTCATAATTGCATGTTAGGCTAATAAGAGATAATGTAGTGATTCCTAGAGTCAAACAGTCAAAATAGCCCTTGCTGTAAAATTGCCCCTGAATTGGAGTATGTCATTTATAACTGAAATAGACTAGCCCAGGGGTACTCAACTCTTACCCTACGAGGTCCGGAGCATGCTGGTTTTCTGATCTACCTGATAATTAATGGCACACACCTGGTGTCTCGGGTCCCTGATTAGAGAGGAACAACGAAAGAATTCAGTGAAACTGGATTTGAGGTCCAGAGTTGGGTTTGAGGGAACTAGCCTATAGTCCTGGGTCTGTAGTCCAGTACACTTCAATGGTTAATTATGTGGTGCGTTCAGTTCGTTGAACGCTTGCTACGTTGCGGAACGGTTTGTACTGAACGACACGTTTTCCCAAAACGTTATTTTACGTCTTCAACAGACTTTGAGATATGCTTGCTCCCGTTTGGTTTGGTGCGTGTGGCTTGAAGCAATGACTGACGTATTTAAGTCAGTTGCCATGCTGACAGCTTTCACCAACCCACAACCCAACCTTTCCCTATTTTTCAACTGGTCGTTCAGTACAGCACGGTTTCCGTACAGCTGAACACTTCAGAACATATGAACATGCTATTGTTTCCGCTAGATTGAATGACCAAATAACCAATAGACGACTACATGGGCGTGGATTGTCGACATCATTTTCGGGAATTGACACGACGCTTGCCTGGAAGACTCACCGCCGAGACGTGTCAACTTTATTGTGCAGGATTTAAAACCGTTATCAATGATAAATGCTCAGAAAATCATCATAATAGACGAATGTAAGTAGCCTACATTGATATTGGGCCGTTCATGAAAGAGAAAGTTATTTTTCCAGGGATTCGTTGACGGCATAAAGTCACAGACATAGGTGAGTTTCATTATGGGGTGTTTCATCATAGGTTATTGGCACTGGTCTACTGTATACTCTAAGTAATGTAATTATATTCAGATTGCCCTTAATTCACATACTCAGAGTTGAACCTTCTGCTCTTTGAAGATACACATGGATTTAAATATGAAAAACATTTCTTTCGCATAAATTATAGATTGTATATGGTTTTGTATGATTTTGTACTCAGCTTTTCACTTTCACTTTCATGTAGCCTATAGTTTTGGATGGATCTGGTTTTAAATATATGAACTAAAATGACATCAAAGTCACTATTACATATTATGCACTTATTAAAGCCATAAAGTAGCCTACTATGGCTTTATTTTCAGCCTCTTAACATTCATCTTCTCTTATTTAGTGAACTCCTTGAAACAAGGCGATGGACATGTGCAGGCAACTGTTGGTAAAGATGAGGAGGAGGAGGAAGGGCAAGTTCACGCCAATCCCTGTATTACCACAGGGCCTCGAGGTCCACTTCTACAAGGGAGACTCTCACCAGCTGGAGTTTCTCAGTGGTTGTTACACTGCTGAGGAGCTGTGCACAGAGGCAGCCAAGAAGTGTGGTGAGTCTGACTCAGTGTTGGCACATACAAAGAAATATATGGATATTAATACAGTAACATAATCATAGTTTATGTCCCCCCCTCTTTGTTCACTCTTTGGCTCGCTCGCTCGCTCACTCGCTCACACAAACAAACACACACACACCTCACACACCTAAATTCTTACTAAGATCTCTCACGCAGACTGAAATTCCAACTAATCCTTCCCCATCCTGACTGGCTCATTTTAATGTGTGTCATGGATAATGAATATGACATGTTATGACATGTAGCAACTGGCTGGTTCTTGTTGAGGGAAATCATACCTCTCTCTCTCTTTTTAGGCATTTCACCTCTTTGCTTCAATCTGTTTGCCCTGTATGACGAGGGCATGAACATCTGGTACCCTCCCAATCACACCTTCAAAATCGAGGAAAGCACCCGCTTAAAGCTCCACTATCGCATGAGGTAAGCATTAGGATATGTTAATCCTCAGTTTGTCACATATTGAAGGAACAAAGCAGAGGGAACCATTTTAGATTGCAGCAGCACTTTGGTCTGCAAATTCACAAACTTGAGATAAAAATGACTTTCTTACAAAAACTTACATTTACATTTACATTTAAGTCATTTAGCAGACGCTCTTATCCAGAGCGACTTACAAATTGGACGAACAGTGTCTGTCCCTTAGCTCCTCAGGGTTAATGGGAATAGCAGCAGACATTCATAAGCTTCATGTTGACCTTCCAGCAGAACTCAATAATATCACAGAAAATAATAACATCATACACAATAGAATTCAACCACCTGGAGAGAGATAGCTAGCCTAGTGTTACCAACAGGAAATTAGATCAATTGGCCAAGCAGTACCACAGGGAAAGGGGATACCTATTCAGTTGCACAACTCAATGCATTCAACCAAAATGTGTCTTCCGCATTTAACCCAACCCCTGCTGCACCTAGGTCAGTAGGACACACAGTGTCCCAATTAGGCTTGGGCGGTATACCGTATATACCATATAATGGGTTATTTGGAAATAGCCACGGGATGGTTTTTCAATACAGTTAATACTATTTCTTTGAAGTTTTTAAAATAAATGTGAATATTTGTTGCTACTTTTTAAGTAAATCCCTCAAGTCAACTTATACGTTAGGAGATAAAGAAGATCGCATTCTTCATTTCACCGGTCACATAATGTTTCATTATGAAGCTTACCGGTAGTCTCCAGTCACGTGGTGTTTGTTCACAAGCACACAACGACGAAAGACCAGAGCCTTGTGAGTCACTCACTGTTGTTCAGCACAAGTCAGGTGATCTAGTTACAGTATGGAATTTACAACTAAATGTTTGCCAGCGAGATATCTTATAACTATTAAGTTTACTGTCTAAAATGTGGCAAATGCTTTGGTTTGCTAATTTAGTAGCTAGTTAGCTATCTAGCTAAGTGGTTAACTTCTTCCAAAATAAAGCTTTGCTTGGTAACAGCAGAAAATCCCTTCCCGGAACAAGAGCCTTGCTGTCTAATATTTGTTTTGTGCGTGCAGCAAACTGAGAGTAGCATTTTTTTGTTACTTGTATAACTTTTGCATTTAGTTAGCATTCTATATGGGTTTTTACATGTACTTGTTAGCATTGCTAACCTTCGGATTAGAGGCAGAGTGGGGTTTGAAAATAGCGCTCCTTGTGTTCAGTGCCGGTATTACCGAATATCCCGGTATGGCACAAGGTCGGTATAATAATAATAATAATAATAATAATAATATGCCATTTAGCAGACGCTTTTATCCAAAGGGACTTACAGTCATGTGCGCATACATTTTTACGTATGGGTGGTCCCGGGGATCGAACCCACTACCCTGGCGTTACAAGTGCCATGCTCTACCAATTGAGCTACAGAGGACCACATGAAGGTATGATAATCTGGATACCGCCCAAGCCTAGTCTCAATACTCAACAGTGGCTTCCTCTCACTGGCTAGAACCTATCCTACTAGTGTCGGATCAAGCCGGGTGAAGAAAAGGAAAGAAGGAAAGGAGACAAGTAAAGGAGGCCACTGTAGAGTATTGAGATAAAGCCATTGCCTCATTTTCAGTTCTGGCTTGAAAGCATTTTAAACATGTGAGATGGGACGAGGTGGTGGTAGAAGAGGTTACATTATTTATCTTCAAATATTTTGGTGTGCTACAAGTCCTGTATAACATGTTTCAAAGCTGTTGATAGACTGCTGCAGACAGATTGACTGAAAGTCTGAATATAATAATAATAATAAGTCTTACTATAATAATACTGACTACAGTATATAATCTGAAATGTAACCATACTGGTAGTGGTCACCAACTGGTCGATCTTCAAGGCATTCCTAGTCGATCACCAACGATAAAGGCCTGTTGCGCTGTTGGTGGTAGATGCACTTGATTCAGAAGTCCTGTTCACCGGGTAGGCAAAGTATTCCCAGTTTGAACCATTTCATATGTCTGAAAAGACAAACTCCGCCTACCTGGCAGACCGGGAGATCTGTGGCTAAATTGAGTGTGCCTACTGTGCTGGCCAATCAGATAGCTCAAATCACTGTGTCTACCTACAGCTTCCACGACCCCGGCCACAGACTAGCCTACGTGAGATTTCATAACTTTTAAAACCATGACCAGAGAGAGACTGTCAAAGAATACAGCAAAGAGCTGCTGTTTTTATGAGTGTCTAAGTTTTATTAAGCACTATTACAAAACGTAAAGCGCGCAATTCCCTCTACTTCCACTCACGCTGCAATGAATGAGTAGCCAAGTATATCGATAGCCCTGCATTTTTATTATTATTAGCAGCTCGTTGTATCTATTTTAATGTCGAGGAGTATTTCACTTTCTTTGGTCATAGGAACAACCTGAATTTATGCCTGAGGCAGATGCGGTGCGACTTGAGTTTCGCCATCAGTTGAAAGATTGTGTCCCCTCTTTCTGGTCAATCTCACCTGAGGAAAGGAGAGAGCAGTGACCGTGAGAGGCGGACCCTCTGCTGCTCTCTCCCTCCCTCCATTGAGACTAATACTGTGTTCAAAAGAACTGAAATCTCCGACTTCTGAGCGTTCAAGACAACTGGGAACTCAGAAAAAAAACTAGATCCGACTGGGAAAAATAGTTTTGAACGGTCATCCAACTCGGTAACTCTGGCATCTTCCTAGCGCTCCGACTTTCTGACCTGAAAGCACCATACCCATCTGATGTAGGTACCACACCTCCAGTAAAATAAAAAAGCAAATTATTAGCATTTATGCTCAGCTGTGCCTCGCAGGTGCTACACCAACTGATCTATTTGTTATCAAAGCTTGAGTTTTGAAATATAATAAGGTCTGAGGAGAACAATATTGGCAGGCCAGGCATATAGCCAATATGCTGTGATAATGTATTAGGCCTACTGCACAAACCTCATTCCTACAGAACTGTTAGGTTAATGTTAAATTTTTTAAGTAAAGTTTAAAAGAATCTGAGTGGTAGATCTCAGCTTGCTTTTTGACTGCAAAAGTGATCTTGACTCAGAAAAGGTTGGTGACCACTGGACTAGTTGATATGTATTATGTACTGAATGGAGTTCTCCTTAAGTTTGATAAGGGGGCTGAGACACAGGCAGCATCTCAAATGAAACCCTATTCCCTAAATAAGGTGTCATTTGGGATGCAAACCCAACCCCTACGTAATGCCAACGTAATGCAACCTGTGTCACCCTTGGCCCGGACTCACAGAGTAGGATGAAGTGGTCCCTAGTAGACACTGATCTTAGGTCAGTTTTGTGTTTTCCATCCTAACAGTAAAGGTTAGCATTGGGAGAGAGTGAGCTGATCCTAGATCTGTAGTTAAGGTCAACTTCTACCCAGAGCTACACAGGCTGGCACAGCAGGGGTCTGGGAGGTTGGGTGGTGCCCCCTAGCTGGTGAGGAGGACTGTGTGCAGGAGAATGGGAGGAAGAGGAGGAGAAGGAGATATTCTTCCTCCTCCTGGTGAGACACTAGCGATATCGCAATATCACTGGAATGATGATGATAAGCAACTCATACTGACATTGAAATACCCTCATCTCTTTAAAAAGGTTCTACTTCACCAACTGGCATGGTGCGAATGAGAGTGTGCCACGTGTTTGCAGACACACCCTCAAGAGAAAGAACGACAATGGGCAGAAGACCAAATCAGGGGGTACTGCACTCCTTGACGCTGCCTCACTGAATTATCTGTTTGCCCAGGTATAATTTTGTACATCAAAATAGTTTCATACAGTTTAAAACAGTTATATCCTCAAATGTAGAGTTCTAGCATACACAATCATATATCCTGATTCATGTGTTTGTGCATTTGATTTTCCCAGGGTCAGCATGACTTCCTGAAGGGGTGGGCCGCAGTGCCTAACCCTCAGAATGAAAAGGAGGCCCACTGTATTGAGAATGAGTGCCTGGGGATGGCAGTGTTGTCTATCACACACCATGCCATGGAGAAGAACATCGGCAACCCAGATTTAGCAGGACGGATCAGGTAACTAATCATCACTCACAAAGAATTTCAGAATTAAGCTGGTGTTACTGTCGGTTTACCATCTTTCTTATACACACTCATGCACACACACACTCTCAGCACACACACACACACACACACACACACCCCTGACTCAACCAAATATCTTTCCATCCCACCCAGCTATAAGAAATACATCCCAGAGAGCGTGAACCAAATCATCAAGCAGCGGAACTTCCTGATACAACTCCACATCTCCCGGGTGTTCCAGCACTTCCTTAACGAGTTCAACAAGACAGTGCAGATCAACAACGTCAACACCCATGACATCAAGGTCAAATACTTGGCTACGCTGGAGACGCTGACATGTGGGTTCGGCTGTGAGGTGTGTAGCTAGATGTATTACAGTACCCATAATGCTCTGTGTAACCATGTTTGCAGACATGCTATTAATTAACGAAAGATTGGCATTGGGCCAAAGACAGAACCAAGTGGTACTCCAAAAGTCTGTAAGGTACTCTATGTGTAAAGATGTTCCTGAAGCTAACACAATGGTGTCCTGTCTCATTATCAATACAAGATATACAAGCCAGAAGTTCTCAGTGTGACTGACAGCGAAGGGGAGATCGAAGGAACACCCACTTCCTGTAACCAGGGTCAGCCCACCCAGTACCAAGTCCTTGTGTCTGGAAATACAGGGATCAAGTGGCGGAGGATGCAACAGAATGTGACAGTGAGTATATTATTTTGTAGTTTAGAATGTGTCAATTATGGCACACATTGTATCTATCATTATTATCTAAGTATCACCTGCTATGTTGTTTTATAAAGAGATACATTTTTATAATGTTCATCTATTTCTCAGAATGCATGGACTGCCAAAGAGAAGAAAAAATCCAAAAAGTACAAAACCGACATCAACTGGAAGAACAAATCAGCTCAAGACGTTTCGAATGACTGGAAAACCTTCTCCGATTTCTATGAGATCACACACATCAACATCAAGGGCTCCACAGTCACTGTCCACAAGCAGGACAACAAAAGGATGGTAAAGTTTCATTGTTTTAAAGGTGCAATATGCAGAAATTGCTGCGCCATTTCCTGGTTGAAAAAATTCTAATAGTTTGCCTAATTTCAGTTAATGTGACAAAACAAGCAATGTAGAGAATCATTGTACCATCTAAACCGCTGTGAAATATATTTTTAATAACCAAAATATTGTATTTTCAGCTGTTTGAAACTGGTGAACAAAACCGAAAGTAAGAGACGCAAAAACTAAACTTAAGAACGAGAAGCATTGAATTTGATGGGGTCTCCCAAAAAGTTACATATTGCAGGTTTAAGCTTTAGAGGAAACTTAAGCATTCGCTAATGCTGAATATCTGAAGGAGCAATCTTGAATGAGGCTCCGTCAGTGTATACTCTTGTACCCATTTTCTCTTTCATATTGGACATGCATGTTTGTTGTCGCTCTATCTCCACTACAGGAACTGAGACTGGGTTTCCATGCAGAGGCATTGTCTTTTGCCACCCTCATTGATGGATACTTCCGTCTGACAGTGGATGCACATCACTTCCTGTGTACAGACGTGGCCCCTCCCTCTGTGGTGCGGAACCTGCAGGAAGGCTGTCATGGTCCAATCAGGTGAGTTTAAATATTCCCATTGTTAGGTTATAAACGAACCGAACTGACGATTAGTAAAGCTCAACCAAGTTTATTCACCCACTGGGTCACACAGCTGCATAAGACAAAGACATGTTTCCACCAGCACAAGTATATATACCCCAATTTGGGTGAAGTATCCTCCTTCCCTCTAAACATTACATGTTTATTGCTAGGCAGGAAGTTAAGTGATGCAGGCAATAAACTGTTCCTTCTCCCTTAATGTGACCTGATCTGACCTCATTCCTCAAGCCTCACTGATACACAGCTATCCACCCTTAGCAGTGACTGCAACCATGTGATTGCTTCCACCATATACATTCCTCCTACAGATAACCATTAACTTCTGGTGTAGGAACCAGACTATGGCACTCCTCATTTCCATAGGATACTTGATGATTGAACAATAACATGTTCTGCCAGTACTTACATGTCCTGCATTCTTCTCTCTCCCTCTGTGGCATGATTTAAGGATATTTCTAGTTTATAAGTCAGAACCCATCACCATTCATTGGTTAGAGAAAATGTAAATATTAGTAAAATACAACATTTTTGTAATACAGTCAATTTGTCCGATTATACAGATACACTGCTCAAAAAAATTAAGGGAACACTAAAATAACACATCCTAGATCTGAATGAATGAAATAATCTTATTAAATACTTTTTTCTTTACATAGTTGAATGTGCTGACAACAAAATCACACAAAAAGTATCAATGGAAATCAAATGTATCAACCCATGGAGGTCTGGATTTGGAGTCACCCTCAAAATTAAAGTGGAAAACCACACTACAGGCTGATCCAACTTTGATGTAATGTCCTTAAAACAAGTCAAAATGAGGCTCAGTAGTGTGTGTGGCTTCCACGTGCCTGTATGACCTCCCTAAAACGCCTGGGCATGCTCCTGATGAGGTGGCGGCTGGTCTCCTGAGGGATCTTCTCCCAGACCTGGACTAAAGCATCCACCAACTCCTGTACAGTCTGTGGTGCAACGTGGCGTTGGTGGATGGAGCGAGACATGATGTCCCAGATGTGCGCAATTGGATTCAGGTCTGGGGAACGGGCGGGCCAGTCCATACCATCAATGCCTTCCTCTTGCAGGAACTGCTGACACACTCCAGCCACATGAGGTCTAGCATTGTCTTGCATTAGGAGGAACCCAGGGCCAACCGCACCAGCATATGGTCTCACAAGGGGTCTGAGGATCTCATCTCGGTACCTAATGGCAGTCAGGCTACCTCTGGCGAGCACATGGAGGGCAGTGCGGCCCCCCAAAGAAATGCCACCCCACACCATGACTGACCCACCGCCAAACCGGTCATGCTGGAGGATGTTGCAGGCAGCAGAACGTTCTCCACGGCGTCTCCCGATTGTGTCACGTCTGTCACATGTGCTCAGTGTGAACCTGCTTTCATCTGTGAAGAGCACAGGGCGCCAGTGGCGAATTTGCCAATCTTGGTGTTCTCTGGCAAATGCCAAACGTCCTGCACGGTGTTGGGCTGTAAGCACAACCCCCACCTGTGGACGTCGGGCCCTCATACCACCCTCATGGAGTCTGTTTCTGACCGTTTGAGCAGACACATGCACATTTGTGGCCTGCTGGAGGTCATTTTGCAGGGCTCTGGCAGTGCTCCGCCTGCTCCTCCTTGCACAAAGGCGGAGGTAGCGGTCCTTCTGCTGGGTTGTTGCCCTCCTACGGCCTCCTCCACGTCTCCTGATGTACTGGCCTGTCTCCTGGTAGCGCCTCCATGCTCTGGACACTACGCTGACAGACACAGCAAACCTTCTTGCCACAGCTCGCATTGATGTGCCATCCTGGATGAGCTGCACTACCTGAGCCACTTGTGTGGGTTGTAGACTCCGTCTCATGCTACCACTAGAGTGAAAGCACCGCCAGCATTCAAAAGTGACCAAAACATCAGCCAGGAAGCATAGGAACTGAGAAGTGGTCTGTGGTCACCACCTGCAGAACCACTTCTTTATTGGGGGTGTCTTGCTAATTGCCTATAATTTCCACCTGTTGTCTATTCCATTTGCACAACAGCATGTGACATTTATTGTCAATCAGTGTTGCTTCCTAAGTGGACAGTTTGATTTCACAGAAGTGTGATTGACTTGGAGTTACATTGTGTTGTTTAAGTGTTCCCTTTATTTTTTTGAGCAGTGTATTTGTGTCATTAACCACGTTTCCATCCACAGTTTTTATGAGAGTAAAGTCACACCATATAAAAAAATAAAATAATGACAGCTGTGATGGAAACAGGACGTTTCGGTACAATTTTATAAATGCTGACAGATAATTTGTTTGTTTGACATAGTGGGATCATATCGAAGAGAACCTGGAGTCACGCGATGATATGGTGTGTGGTCCTCCTGCTATGATGCGGGAAACCATGCAGTTTATTCAGCTACAGATTAAATAAATTATGATGAACTTCACAGGGTGGTGAAAATGCCCGGTGATGAGCTTGATGCGCCTTTCCAATCAATATCGAGGGTCTTATTCTGGTGACATGATGATCGATGCTTGACTGCCATTTAACAAATACAAATATTCTCGCTCTTATCCATAATAATCTCATGTAGACTAGCCTACCTGCACAGCCTTCTGCAAGCTGTTGGCTAGAGCGCACATGCCAAGACCAGAGTAGGCACATTTGCTATTTAACGGAACAACTATTGGTCGAGTTGAAAATGAAACAACTTTAGAGTTTTACGAGCGGAAAAGTACATTTTCTGTGCACTACTTCATCACGCACTGATTGTTATTCGCAACAAGTCAGTTTGGTGGAAACACACCACTTGTTGGAACATTTGCATATTTTGGAATATTCGCATGGAAATCTGTCGCCAATTGGATGGAAACCTAGCTACTGACACAATAATACTTCTATACTAGTGTAGAACTGAGTTGATTCACCCCTTTTCCCATGATCCAATTTGGCCCCTCCCCCTCCAGCATGGACTACACCTCCCACAAGCTGCGCCAGGAGGGCGGGGAGGAGGGCATGTACGTGCTGCGCTGGAGCTGTATCGACTATGACCACATCCTCCTGACTGTCAAATGCAACCAAGTACATTACCACTTCCACCATCTGCCTCACCCACAGTCATATAGACATGTATACAGCCACTATCATTTTAAGACAATCATACATTTGAACATTTTTGTGAGGCTTTCTCGCTTTTAAAAACCTGGTGGCGCTATCTTGTTAGTCACCATTATTTGACTGAACTGAATTGTGACAATTTGTTGCTGTAAAAATGGCTGGTGTAAATCAACTGGCTTGATTACTCTCTGTACTCCTTCTCCTCCTCTTGGCTCTTCTGCTGTAGGTGGACCTGACCGATAACCGTCCGTACCGTAGCTTTAAGATCGAGGTGGGGCCGGAAGGTTACGTCCTGAGTGGTACAGTCCTGAGGCAGCCCTCTCTCAGGGAGCTGATGGAACAGCTGAGGGGCCAGAGCCTCAGTACAGACAAAGTCATCATCCAGCTCCGCAAGGCCTGCCCTCCCCAGCCCAGAGGTATGGTATGATACCCTGCCCCAATACTACACACTTAGAAAAAAAAGGTGCTATCTAGAACCTAAAAGGGTTCTTCGGCTGTCCCCATAGAAGAAGCCTTTTTGGTTCCAGGAACAACCCTTTTGGTTCCCTTTCCACAGAGGGTTCTATATGGATCCCAAACGGGTTCTACCTGTAACCAAAAAGGGTTCTACCTGTAACCAAAAAGGGTTCTATCTGGAACCAAAAATGTTTATGGGGACAGCTGAATAACCCCTTTGGAACCCTTTTTTCTAAAGTGTATCACCACGGCACCTAATGCTTTATCAGGTTTGGCACCTTATGCCATACAATACACCAGACCAGGATGTGCTCTTCTCTTTATACCACTATCAAACAGGACATGTTGCTCAGTAACAGTGGTTTTCCTGAATTCGGCAGCTCTGTCACCTGTTCTCACTTCAGAGGGAGATGATTGGTGTGTGTCTATATTGTTTCCTATTTCAGTTTTTTTGTTTGTTTCAGAAATGTCTAACCTGCTACTAGTGACAAAGAGAGCGGCGGAGCCGACGTACCCCGTACAGAGTCATGTCGTCTTCCACAAGATCCTCAACAAGGACATAGTGCAGGTGTGCGTGTGTGTATTTGCGTGCGTGTGTGTCTGTCTGCTTGTGTGGATTTGTATGTGCATGTGTGTTTGCATGTTAGCCTTCACTAACTGTGTTTACAGTATGTTTGTGTGCACAGGATGCCCTACGCTGACAATACTACTTTTTAATTCATTCCTTTGATCTACAAATAATGCTATTCTGTCCGTAATCGTGTCTGTGTCTCCCATATGTCTATATAGGAGGAACACTTGGGCTGTGGCACCAGAACTAACATCTATGCTGGCAAACTGAAAATAAAGAGTGAGGAAGAGAAGGATGTGTGGGGTTCCCAAACTCACCACGAGGTGAAAGTGGTCCTGAAAGTGCTAGGGTCCCAACACAGAGACATCACTATGGTGAGAACACACACACACACACACACACACACGCTGTATAAACAAAAAGTGGCTTTAGAAATTAATGCGATTGGCATACACATTAACCTTTTATTGCAGTGGACTAAATCAGAGTCACACAGAGTGATTCTTGGTAGTCTTAAACAAATCTACTTTGAAATAAAAGTATACACCTCACACACATGGTTATGGGCTTACAAAAAAGAAGACGCCTGTACCAAGTCAGATATGGAGTTGAAATGTATTAGATTTTGAGTTTGCATCCCAATATTACACTTTATACACATCACAGAAGACTGAAATATAACAAAACCGTTTGACATAGTAACACCAGATTTTTGTTTGAAAGAATGTTGATTAATTATGACATTATGAAAAATATGAATAACATTCCACCCATGAGGCCAGTAGGTAATTTGAGTGCAGGAAAGGGCTACCATACATACACACTGCTCCTCCCTCCACCACCCATGTCTGACCTTCTCCCTTTGACCTTTGACTCTGACCTTTGACACTGAGCTCTTTCCGTCAGGCTTTCTTTGAGACGGTCAGTATGATGCGTCAGGTGTCCCACCAACACGTTGCTCTGCTGCACGGCGTCTGTGTTCGCAACCAGGACAGTAAGTCATCCTTCCTTCCACCATTCCTCTTACTTTGACTCTTAAACTGAGACTCAGCGAGATGCCACAAGCCGCAGGAAGAACCTAAGTTAATGCAGATGAGCGCCACGCAAGACGATGTACTCGCGCAGAGTATCTGCGCATGTGCATGGCTACCCTTCACATTGCTACAACGTGATATCTGCACGACAACAACTAGGGAGAAGTTTAGCTTTGCGCGTCGCGCTCTTAGTTGTTGCGGAAGTTGTCACGATACTGCTGTTTACTTTGTGCATCGCTGAAGTCCTATAAGTTAGGACATAGAATGTCTGCATATACCATATGTTGTGGAAAATGTCTCTGACAGCAAAAGTATTTGTAATTTTTTTTATTAAGTTGCAACCTACTTGTACTTTTTAATCTGAAATAGGCTAGACATTTTTGGACCTCTTAACTGTGTGTATGGTGTTGTCCCTGTTCAGATATCATTGTGGAGGAGCATGTGAAGTTGGGTCCTCTGGATGTGTTCATGCGGGGACATCGTCTTGAACTCAGCACCTCCTGGAAGTACCAGGTGGCCAAACAACTGACCGACGCCCTCAGCTACCTGGTGAGACATGATGAGACGACACCCAATTGCGATTTTGGCCGAACAACCCTGATTCACACTACAGGGCCAAATCGAGCTGTACTGGGCTGCCTTAATGAAAAAAAACAGCATAGACCAGCCTAAATGTCAAGCTGGTCCATGCTGGTCAAGCTGGTCTGACCAGCATGGTCTAGCTGGTTAGGCTGGCTGACTAGCTGGTCAAGTAGGTGATTCTGGGGATCAGCTAATGCTGGTGATGCTGGTGTGCTGATGACCAGCTTATGCTGGTCTATGCTGGTCAAGCTGGTCTGCAAAACCACACCCATCATTATCATATTTCCCATCATGCTCTATTGCAGTTAGATTTTTTGAATTGTTTGTTTCAATATGTGTTTTTGCATGTTCATTAATTAATTAATTAATTAATTAATTAATTAATTAATTAATTAATTAATTAATTAATCTTATGCTACACAAAGATAAATAACATACATTTTTCTAAACTAATACAATCTGTTAGTTAACTTATTGCACCCGTTACTGAAATGGTTGTTCCAGTTTAGATGGATCTCATTTATTAATTTTTCTAACTCTGGCAGTCATTCTGAATGCAGATTGTGGGTGAATAAAAGTTACATTTGTTGGATATCCCCACTCTGGCTGGATTCCAATAGGAATTAAACATCACTTTGCAAGCCAGCATAATGTGACTTGACCAGTGTCGAAAACACAGCGAATGCTGGTCACCAGCAAAAACACAGCGAATGCTGGTCACCAGCAAAAACACAGCGAATGCTGGTCACCAGCAAATAGACAGCAAATGCTGGTCACCAGCAAATAGACAGCAAAGGCTGGTCACCAGCAAATAGACAGCAAAGGCTGGTCACCAGCAAATAGACAGCAAAGGCTGGTCACCAGCAAATAGACAGCAAAGGCTGGTCACCAGCAAATAGACAGCAAAGGCTGGTCACCAGCAAATAGACAGCAAAGGCTGGTCACCAGCAAATAGACAGCAAAGGCTGGTCACCAGCAAATAGACAGCAAAGGCTGGTCACCAGCAAATAGACAGCAAAGGCTGGTCACCAGCAAATAGACAGCAAAGGCTGGTCACCAGCAAATAGACAGCAAAGGCTGGTCACCAGCAAATAGACAGCAAAGGCTGGTCACCAGCAAATAGACAGCAAAGGCTGGTCACCAGCAAATAGACAGCAAAGGCTGGTCACCAGCAAATAGACAGCAAAGGCTGGTCACCAGCAAATAGACAGCAAAGGCTGGTCACCAGCAAATAGACAGCAAAGGCTGGTCACCAGCAAATAGACAGCAAAGGCTGGTCACCAGCAAATAGGCAGCAAAGGCTGGTCACCAGCAAATAGGCAGCAAAGGCTGGTCACCAGCAAATAGACAGCAAAGGCTGGTCACCAGCAAATAGACAGCAAAGGCTGGTCACCAGCAAAAACACAGCGAAGGCACTAGAAAAAAAACACAGAAGGCTGGTCACCAGCAAAAACACAGGCTGGTGACCAGCCTTTTTCCAAAAGGGTGGCCTGGTTATGCATTCACCATAGTTACTGGAACCGTGCTAGAAAGGACAATGTGAAAAGACAATACCAGAGCCGGTCCAGTATGGTCCAGGTTGTCTCTCTAGGATAAATCAGGCATAAAAATGTGCCATTTATAATAACATTTCATTTTATAATCTAATGTAGAATGTAATAGTGTTGGAACTTGGTGCCAACCTGGAGAATACAGTAGCAATAGTTTGGCAAACTATATGGCTCTAGACCTGACCCTTCCCTGTGTTTCTGTCCCCTACAGGAGGATAAGAAGCTGGTCCATGGCTATGTGTCTGCTAAGAACATCCTAGTGGAGCGGGATGGTCTGGAGGGAGAGACTGGGCCCTTCATCAAACTGAGTGGCCCTGGTGTCCCCATCTCCGCACTCAACATACAAGGTGTGTGTGTGGTGGGTGTGAGTGTGTGCAAGCGTGCGTGTGTGTGGTGTGTGCGTCTGTGTGTCTGTCTGTTCTTCCCCAGCTGACAAGGCTGTGTTGTATTACAGAGTGTGTGGAGAGGATCCCGTGGATCGCCCCAGAGTGTGTGAGGAACAGCCAGGCCCTGAGTGTTGCGGTGGATAAGTGGGGTTTCGGCACCACGCTGTGGGAGATCTGCTACGAGGGAGAGGCTCCTCTCAAAGACAAGAAACTCATAGAGGTACACCCATACTTCTCCTGACAAGAGACCTACTAACATACAGTGAGCAACACAGTCTCTCACTCACAACCACCCCAAGAGTCCTGCATACATAGCCTAACTCTTCTTTAAAAAAAGTATCCTTTATTTACCCAGGTGAGATATCTATTTCAGAGGGGAGCTCTTGAGTTATTTCATTGAATACATCTGTTGCTGTGAAGTTTATTGACACTTGTAGACTGTGGTAATCTTACAATATTCATAGCATGCCACTTAGAAGCAAAGTATTGGAATCAATATTGGAACAGAGCCCAAGTCTTGGTTCTGATCCATCTCCTCTCTTTCTCTCTGTGAGCAGAAGGAAATGTTTTACTCGGCCCAGTGTTCCCTTGTGACACCAGACTGCCCTCAGCTGGCTGAGCTCATCACCAAGTGCATGACCTACGACCCCAAGAGGAGGCCCTTCTTCAGGGCCATCGTCAGGGACCTCACCGGGGTGGCCGAGCAGAGTAAGAGGACACACCTTTTCTGTCTCTGTTTCTCTTGTTGTCATTGTCTCTGTCACTTTCTCTCTGTCTCTCACTCTCTCTCACATGCATGTGTATGTGCGTGCAGACAAGTGTGCGTGTGCCTGTGTTTACATAGAGAACGTGTTTGTATAACCCTATTATAACCCTGTCTCTGTGTGGCCCCTCCCCCATACCCAGTCCTGCCTCCTGGAAGGGTGCCCATCCAGGAAGTGGACCCCACTGTGTTTGATACCAGGTTCCTCAGGAAGATCAAAGACCTGGGACAGGTAGGGACACTCTTAATACATGTATAGTTTACTTTTGGGGTGCTTGTCCACATTAAAGGGGCAATCTGGGATTGGTACATCCATTATAGCCATTGATTCTTGAAGAATATCTCTTATAAATGCTTTATTGAGCTTAGTTTCATTGTCTTACCCCATCAGAACCCCAAATATAAGTGGCGAGGTGACCGATTTGTTGTTTGAATCCTACTAATTCCCATGTAATGTGACGATTGAGGTATGTAATTGTGTGTGTGTGGTACAGATATGAACTGTACTTGTGTGGTTTGTGTTAATATATGTTCACTATATCTGTGGCGTGCTTTATTTGTCACGCCCTGACTTATGGGACTAGTGTCTGTTGAGTCAGGGTGTGGATATCTATGTTAGTGTTTCTATGTTTTCATTCAATGTTGTGTGTTTCTATGTTTGGCCGGGAGTGATTCCCAATCAGAGGCAGCTGTCGCTCGTTGTCTCTGATTGGAGATCATACTTAAGTAGCTTGTTGGCACTCATTAGTTGTGGGATCTTGTTCCGTGTGTAGGCTTGTTTTGTGTTTAGCCTGAGGACTTCACGTTGGTTTGTTCGTGTGTTTATCGTTGAAATAAACATGTATGCATTTCACGCTGCGCCTTGGTCTGGCCCGTCCTTAAACGAACGTGACATTATTCTATAATTGTTCTCGTGTGTGTGTGTGTGTGTCTACTGTGCAGGGTAACTTTGGGAAAGTGGAACTGTGTCAGTATGACCCCCGTGGGGATGGCCGAGGGGAGCTGGTGGCGGTCAAGTTTCTGAAGCCAGAGAGCAAAGGCCAGCTGGCCTGCCACCTGAGGAGAGAGATAGATACCATGAGAGAGCTCTACCACCACAACATCGTCAAATACAAAGGAGTGTGTAGCGAGGAGGGTGAGGAGGGCAATGCATGCATTCCTACATACACACACAAACGTATACTGTATGTATATATACAATACACACACATGCTTGTTGTCACACACCACACACTTGTGAAAATCGTGTTTCTCTGTCTAGGTGGGAAGACCATTAAGCTGATTATGGAGTACCTTCCAGCGGGGAGTCTGAAGGACTATCTTCCCAGGAGGAAACACCAGACTGACCTCAAGAGGCTCCTCCACTACGCCCTTCAGATCTGCCAGGTATAGTAGTATGGAGCTTTATTAATGCCCCCAAAAATTGAATTTCATTGTTTTAACTAATACACTATAGGTATTTATGTACAGTGCCTTCAGAAAGTATTCAGACCCCTTGACTTTTTCCACATTTTGTTACGTTACAGCCTTATTCTAAAATGGAAATTTATAAAAAATAAAAAACAGCAATACCTTATTTACATGAGTATTCATACCCTTTGCTATGAGACTCGAAATTGAGCTCAGGTGCATCCTGTTTCCATTGATCATCCTTGAAATGTTTCTACAACGTCATTGGAGTCCACCTGTGGTAAATTCAATTGATTGGACATGATTTGGAAAGGCACTCACCTGTCTTTAGAAGGTCCCAGAGTTGACAGTGCATGTCAGAGCAAAAACCAAGCCATGAGGTCGAAGCAATTGTCTGTAGAGCTCCGAGACAGGATTGTGTCGAGGCACAGATCTGGGGAAGGGTACCAAAACATTTCTGCAGCATTGAAGGTCCCCAAGAACACAGTGGCCTCCATCATTCTTAAATGGAAGAAGTTTGGAACCACCAAGATTCTTCCTAGAGCTGGCCTCCTGGCCAAACTGAGCAATCGGGGGAGAAGGGCTTTGGTCAGGGAGGTGACCAAGAACCCGATGGTCACTCTGACAGCGCTCTAGAATTCCTCTGTGGAGATGGGAGAACCTTCCAGAAGGACAACCATCTATGCAGCACTCCACCAATCAGGCCTTTATGGTAGAGTGGCCAGACGTAAAGGCACATGACAGTAAAAGGCACATGACAGCCTGCTTGGAGTTTGCGAAAAGGCACCAAAAGACTCTCAGACCATGAGAAACAAGATTCTCTGGTCTGATGAAACCAAGATTGAACTCTTTGGCCTGAATACCAAGCGTCACATCTGGAGGAAACCTGGCACCATCCCTACGGTGAAGCATGGTGGTGGCAGCATCATGCTGGGGGGATGTTTTTCAGCAGCAGGGACTGGGAGACTAGTCAGGATCGAGGGAAAGATGAACGGAGCAAAGTACAGAGAGATCCTTGATGAAAACCTGCTCCAGAGCTCTCAGGACCTCAGACTGGGGCGAAGGTTCACCTTCCAACAGGACAACGACCCTAAGCACACAGCCAAGACAACGCAGGAGTCGCTTCGGGACAAGTCTCTGAATGTCCTTGAGTTCAGCAACGCTCCCCATCCAACCTGACAAAGCTTGAGAGGATCTGCAGAGAAGAATGTGAGAAACTCCCCAAATACAGGTGTGCCAAGCTTGTAGCGTCATACCCAAGAAGGCTGTAATCGCTGCCAAAGGTGCTTCAACAAAGTACTGAGTAAAGGGTCTGAATACTTATGTAAATGTAATATTTCCGTTTCTTTTTTTAAATTAGCAAATATTTCTAAAAATCTGTATTTGCTTTGTCGTTATGGGGTTTTGTGTGTAGAATCAATTTTAGAATAAGTCTGTAACCTAACAAAATGTGGAAAAGTCTAGGGTTCTGAATACTTTTACGAAGGCGCTGCGCTGTATGTGCTGCGGTTTCTGATTATGGAGAGAGTTGGACATTCTAAAGCATTGCAGTCCTTATTTAAATTAACTTTCTGCTACTTACAAAGAAATGAACACAGTTGGTAACTGTGGCTAGTACTAAATGAAATGTTGTGTTGAATGTTTCAATGACTCATAGAAACCACAAGGTAAATAGCTATAAAAGTATACAAACTATAGAAACAAGTGAAAACCCCCATAGTGAAAATGTGTGTGTGTGTCTCAGGGAATGGATTACTTGGGATCCCAGCGGTTCATCCACCGGGATTTGGCGGCCAGGAACGTTCTGGTGGAGAACGAGAGCACAGTGAAGATTGGAGACTTTGGCCTCACCAAGAGCATGAAGGAGGACAAGAGTTACTACACTGTCAAAGAGGACACCGCCAGCCCTGTGTTCTGGTGAGCAACTTAGAAATAGAATAACAAGACCAGGTCCTAGAACTTAACTTGATGGTTCACTCCCAAATCAAAGTTAAGGAGATAAGGTCACATGCCATTTAAAAGCCTGGAGCCAGTCTATCGTTGCTATCTGTGATGTATCCGATTAAAATCTCCTATGATCTTGACAGGTTGGAGCTCATTGTATTGACTTTAGCTGACAAACAGTGAGGGGAAAAAGTATTTGATCCCCTGCTGATTTTGTACGTTTGCCCACTGACAAAGAAATGATCAGTCTATAATTTTAATGGTAGGTTTATTTGAACAGTGAGAGACAGAATAACAACAAAAAAATCCAGAAAAACGCATGTCAAAAATTTGCATTTTAATTAGGGAAATAAGTATTTGACCCCCTCTCAATCAGAAATATTTCTGGCTCCCAGGTGACTTTTATACAGGTAACAAACTGAGATTAGGAGCTCACTCTTAAAGGGAGTGCTCCTAATCTCAGTTTGTTACCTGAATAAAAGACACCTGTCCACAGAAGCAATCAATCAATCAGATTCCAAACTCTCCACCATGGCCAAGACCAAAGAGCTCTCCAAGGATGTCAGGGACAAGATTGTAGACCTACACAAGGCTGGAATGGGCTACAAGACCATCGCCAAGCAGCTTGATGAGAAGGTGACAACAGTTGGTGCGATTATTCGCAAATGGAAGAAACACAAAAGAACTGTCAATCTCCCTCGGCCTAGGGCTCCATGCAAGATCTCACCTCGTGGAGTTGCAATGATCATGAGAACGGTGAGGAATCAGCCCAGAACTACACGGGAGGATCTTGTCAATGATTTCAAGGCAGCTGGGACCATAGTCACCAAGAAAACAATTGGTAACACACTACGCCGTGAAGGACTGAAATCCTGCAGCTCCCACAAGGTCCCCCTGCTCAAGAAAGCACATATACATGCCCGTCTGAAGTTTGCCAATGAACATCTGAATGATTCAGACGAGAACTGGGTGAAAGTGCTGTGGTCAGATGAGACCAAAATGGAGCTCTTTGGCATCAACTCAACTCGCCATGTTTGGAGGAGGAGGAATGCTGCCTATGACCCCAAGAACACCATCCCCACCGTCAAACATGGAGGTGGAAACATTATGCTTTGGGGGTGTTTTTCTGCTAAGGGGACAGGACAACTTCACCGCATCAAAGGGACGATGGACGGGGCCATGTACCGTCAAATCGTGGGTGAGTACCTCCTTCCCTCAGCCAGGGCATTGAAAATGTGTCGTGGATGTGTATTCCAGCATGACAATGACCCAAAACACACGGCCAAGGCAACAAAGGAGTGGCTCAAGAAGAGGCACATTAAGGTCCTGGAGTGGCCTAGCCAGTCTCCAGACCTTAATCCCATAGAAAATCTGTGGAGGGAGCTGAAGGTTCGAGTTGCCAAACGTCAGGCTCGAAACCTTAATGACTTGGAGAAGATCTGCAAAGAGGAGTGGGACAAAATCCCTCCTGAGATCTGTGTAAACCTGGTGGCCAACTACAAGAAACGTCTTACCTCTGTGATTGCCAACAAGGGTTTTGCCACCAAGCACTAAGTCATGTTTTGCAGAGGGGTCAAATACTTATTTCCCTCATTAAAATGCAAATCAATTAATAACATTTTTGACATGTGTTTTTCTGGATTTTTGTTGTTGTTATTCTGTCTCTCACTGTTTAAATAAACCTACCATTAAAATTATAGACTGCCCACTGACAAAGAAATGATCAAATGTACAAAATCAGCAGGGGATCAAATACTTTTTTCCCTCACTGTATTTACCTTTGTCGTGTTCATTGATAATAGGCACCAAACGGAAGAAATCAAACTGAAAAAAGGGAGGGACTACCTAAACTTGAAATGCTTATCTCTAGGTTTTTTTTGCAAAACATTTTGTTACAGTATGTGTTGCCTTGTAGGTATGCTCCTGAGTGCCTGGTGAACAGTAGGTTTTACCCTGCGTCTGACGTGTGGTCCTTCGGAGTGACCCTCTATGAGCTGATGACCTACTGCGAGACAAGCAGCAGTCCTGACGAGGTAAAGAACTTTCTGTGTTTACCTCACTTCACAATGAAAATAGTTTCATACAAATTCGTTAAACTTTATTGATTTGAGAAAACATTTAACATGTAAAGTATCTGATGAGATGTACATAATTATTGTCTTAGTTGATCAAGCTAGCACTTGTCTGTTATGGGATCAAATTATTCTGCAGTTCAATACTCTGACCTTTCTCCCTAAGTGTGCACATCATGGATTTTAAAGAAAATGAGTAGAGTAAGAAATATGGAGGAAACTCCTTCCCCAAGCTTGCACCAATCCAATGTTTTTAAATGCATGGGAAGACGTGCATGAGTGTATAGTTTGAGAGTAAAGACTGGGCTGTAGGTACGGCCAGAATTGGAGCGTAGGACCAGTTTCCCATCTGTTTTGGTTTAGATCATGTGACATGGTTGTTCACAGGTATTTTTGGAGATGCTTCGTCCAACCCAGGGTATGATGACTCTCACCCTATTGGTGAAAGTGCTGATGGCCGGCAGGAGGCTGCCCTGTCCACCTCGCTGCCCAGAAACGGTAAGAGAACTCCGGGACGTGGTGTCATCTGCTCACCAAGGCTGTAGTCTTTCCTTATCTTTCATCTTCAAGCTAATGCTCCGGGGTGAAGATTCCCCTAGGTACAGATCTAGGATCAGCTTCCCCTCCCCCAATCCTAACCTTAACCATTAGTGGAGAAAATGCCAAACTAACCTAAGATCAGCGTCTAGGGGCAACTTTGCTCCACACCAAAGCTAATAGTACACTTTCTAAATACACATTCAGTAGTGTTATTCTATACAAAAATTATCCTCAATAGGAATGAGTGGGAATAGAACATCCTGCACATCCGATGGTTCCGAGCAGGTGCTGGGGTATCAAAGTCAATGTTTAGGGCGTTCACTCACTGCTGTAGAATGTAGAGGAAATGGGGCAATTCAAGAGGGTGCTATGAAATGAATGTCAAAACGTTGTTTTCTTTGCCCTATGTCATTATAAATTACATAGAATTAATCATTAGATTGTTCTCTACAATATTATAACCTTAATATACTTATACTTGACATTGTTGATTAAATAGGAACGTTAATTTGCTGTAACCGTTGCTAGTTTAGACTGTGCCGCTCTTTGTTGTATCTCTTCCATATTTGGTGTTGTGAGGTGGTACTATTTGGAGGTGTTTCCGCTGGTTGGACCAATCAAAATCAACGTGATACCGTCGTCATTTTCACCTCCAGATCCCTGGCTTTCATTGCCTATAACTGCGATAAATCTACGTTGAGAGGGGCCGTTTCTATGGCGATTTAAAGGGAAAGACTCAGAAATACACAATGAATGGCTTCTGGTTGGGATATGTACGTACGTTCTGGTTGGGATATGTACGTGTCGTCTCCACAGTGACCATACGTACATTTCCCAACCAGAAGCTATGGATTACAGGCAACATCTGCACTGAGCTAAAGACTAGAGCTGCCGCTTTTAAGGAGTGGGACACTAATCCGGACGCTTATAAGAAATCCTGCAATGCCCTCCGACGAACCATCAAACAGGCAAAGCCTCAATACAGGACTAAGATTGAATCCTACTACACCGGCTCTGATGCTCGTCGGATGTGGCAGGACTTGCAAACTATTACGGATTACAAAGGGAAACCCAGCCGCGAGCTGCCCAGTGACGCGACCCTACCAAACGAGCTAAATGCCTTCTATGCTCGCTTCGTGGCAAGCAACACTGAAGCTTGCATGAGAACACCAGCTGTTCCGGACGACTGTGTGATCACGCTCTCCGTAGCCGATGTCAGTAAGACCTTTAAGCAGGTCAATATTCACAAGGCCGCGGGGCCAGATGGATTACCAGGACTCATACTCAGAGAATGCGCTGACCAACTGGCAAGTGTCTTCGCTGACATTTTCAACCTCTCCCTGACCGAGTCTGTAATACCTACGTTTCAAGAAGACCACCATAGTCTCTGTGCTCAAGAATGCAAAGGTAACCTGCCTAAATGACTACCACTCTGTAGCACTCACGTCTGTAGCCATGAAGTGGGATGATGGTGTTGACTCACATCAACACCATCATCCCAGAAACCCTAGACCCACTACAATTCGCATACCGCCCCAGCATATCCACAGATGACGCAATCTCCATTGCACTCCACACTGCCCTTTTCCACCTGGACAAAAGGAACACCTACGTGAGAATGCTGTTCGTTGACTACAGCTCAGCGTCCAACACCATAGTTCCCTGAAAGCTCATCATTAAGCTAAGGACCCTGGGACTAAACACCTCCCTCTGCAACTGGATCCTGGACTTCCTGACGGGCCGCCCCCAGGTGGTAAGGGTAGGCAACAACCCGTATGCCACGCTGATCCTCAACACAGGGGCCTCTCAGGGGTGCGTGCTTAGTCCCGTCCTGTACTCCCTGTTCACCCACAACTCCAACACCATCATTAAGTTGGCAGACGACACAACGGTGGTAGGCCTGATCACCGACAACGATGAAACAGCCTAGAGGGAGGAGGTCAGAGACCTGGCACAGGACAACATCTCCCTCAACGTGAGCAAGACAAAAGAGCTGATCATGGACTAAAGGAAAGGGGGGGGCGAGCACGTCCCTATTCTCATCCACGGAGCTGTAGTGGAGTGGGTCGAGAGCTTCAAGTTCCTTGGCGTCCACATTACTAACAAACTATCATGGTCCAAACACAACAACAGTCGTGAAGAGGGCACAACAGAGCCTATTCCCCCTCAGGGCATGGGTCCTCAGATCCTCAAAACGTTATACAGCTGCACCATCGAGAGCATCCTGACTCGTTGCATCACCGCTTGGTATGGCAACTGCTCGGCATCCGACCGCAAGGCGCTACAGAGGGTAGTGCATACGGCCCAGTACATCACTGGGGCCAAGCTTCCTGCCATCAAGGATCTCTATACCAGGCGGTGTCAGAGGAAGGCCCTAAAAATTGGCAAAGACTCCAGCCACCCTAGTCATAGACTGTTCTGTCTGCTACCGCACGGCAAGCGGTACCAGAGCACCAAGTCTAGGTCCAAAAGGCTCCTTAACAACTTCTACCCCTAAGCCATTAAACTGCTAAACAGTTAATCAAATGGCTACCCGGACTATTTGCATAGACCCCTTTTTTACGCTACTGCCACTCGCTGTTTATTATGTATGCATAGTCACTTTACCTCTACCTACATGTACATATTACCTCGACTAACCTGTACCCCCACACATTGACATGGTACTGGTAGCCCCTGTATATAGCCTCATTATTGTTATTTTATTGTGTTACTTTTTTTCTTCCTTTATTTTATTTTATATTTTAGCAAATATTTTCTTACTTAACCAACAATGCAGATTTTTTTTGTTAAGGGCTTGTAAGCATTTCATGGTAAGGTCTACACCCGTTGTATTCGCCGCATGTGACAAATACGATTTGATTTGAAAAAAGGGTGAACACCCTACAATGTTCATTAACAAAAAAAGGACAACTGCATACACTGGGATGAACATGTTTTCCCAAGTGTATCATAACGTTTTGACCCTTAGGTCAATGTTTCAACCTTTTATTATATTTTTAGCTGATTGCCGAAAAAAAAAATGTAATGATTTGTGACCGACCACCTCTATTCGGTCTTATGTAGCAACATTTTAAATTGTTTTTTTTTTTTTACATTGGATAAAAGTATAGACTACAAAATGGTATATCATACACTGTAGTTGAGGAACAATGGGAAAGTAATTCTGCTTTGAGAGTTGATAAACTTTTGAGAATATGGCCCTTGAATGTTTTGGCACACCTACTGGAGAGCTCTTCTTTGTCTACACCTATTCAGCATAGTTCACACCCAACTGAAGCCTTAGCCCCACCTAACTCTTTAAGGATTCACATGGAGGCCATGTGCTAAACAGAGTAAGGTAGTGTAGTAAACAACCAAAGATTTCAAGACTAAAAGTGGTGTAGTAGCCTTCAATAAGGGAAAAACGGCATGGAAAAATATGCTTTATCTAGTCCTTGGCATATATCCTAATCTGACTTTGGTGCAGGTCATGTTGTTCTTCACATTACCGTCTCTGGTAAGCACACACTATATCAAATAAAATCTATGTTTATTTGTCACATGCACAGGATACAGAAGGGGTGAATGGTACAGTGAAAAGCTTACATGCAAATATTCCATAGTAGCAATATCAAAAATAGAAAGCGTTGAGATAAAAATATTTTATAAATATTTTATCATTATTATAGTGAACAAAAATATAAACTTAACATGCAAAAATGTCAAAGATTTTAGTGAGTTACAGTTCATATAAGGAAATCAGTCAATTGAAATAAATTCATTAGGCCCTAATCTATGGATTTGACATGACTGGGAATACATACAGTGGGGAGAACAAGTATTTGATACTTTTTTTTATTTTTTTTATTTCACCTTTATTTAACCAGGTAAGCCAGTTGAGAACAGGTTCTCATTTACAACTGCGACCTGGCCAAGATAAAGCAAAGTAGTGCAATAAAAACAACACAGAGTTACATATGGGGTAAAAAAAAAAACATACACTGACGATTTTGCAGGTTTTCCTACTTACAAAGCATGTAGAGGTCTGTAATTTTTATCATAGGTACACTTCAACTGTGAGAGACGGAATCTAAAACAAAAATCCAGAAAATCACATTGTATGATTTTTAAGTAATTCATTGGCATTTTATTGCATGACATAAGTATTTGATCACCTACCAACCAGTAAGAATTCCGGCTCTCACAGACCTGTTAGTTTTTCTTTAAGAAGCCCTCCAGTTCTCCACTCATTACCTGTATTAATTGCACCTGTTTGAACTCGTTACCTGTATAAAAGACACCTGTCCACACACTCAATCAAACAGACTCCAACCTCTCCACAATGGCCAAGACCAGAGAGCTGTGTAAGGACTTCAGGGATAAAATTGTAGACCTGCACAAGGCTGGGATGGGCTACAGGACAATAGGCAAGCAGCTTGGTGAGAAGGCAACAACTGTTGGCGCAATTATTAGAAAATGGAAGAAGTTCAAGATGACTGTCAATCACCCTCGGACTTGGGCTCCATGCAAGATCTCACCTCGTGGGGCATCAATGATCATGAGGAAGGTGAGGGATCAGCCCAGAACTACACGGCAGGACCTGGTCAATGACCTGAAGAGAGCTGGGACCACAGTCTCAAAGAAAACCATTAGTAACACACTACGCCGTCATGGATTAAAATCCTGCAGCGCACGCAAGGTCCCCCTGCTCAAGCCAGCGCATGTCCAGGCCCGTCTGAAGTTTGCCAATGACCATCTGGATGATCCAGAGGAGGAATGGGAGAAGGTCATGTGGTCTGATGAGACAACAATTGAGCTTTTTGGTCTAAACTCCACTCGCCGTGTTTGGAGGAAGAAGAAGGATGAGTACAACCCCAAGAACACCATCCCAACCGTGAAGCATGGAGGTGGAAACATCATTCTTTGGGGATGCTTTTCTGCAAAGGGGACAGGACGACTGCACCGAATTGAGGGGAGGATGGATGGGGCCATGTATCGCGAGATCTTGGCCAACAACCTCCTTCCCTCAGTAAGAGCATTGCAGATGGGTCGTGGCTGGGTCTTCCAGCATGACAACGACCTGAAACACACAGCCAGGGCAACTAAGGAGTGGCTCCGTAAGAAGCATCTCAAGGTCCTGGAGTGGCCTAGCCAGTCTCCAGACCTGAACCCAATAGAAAATCTTTGGAGGGAGCTAAAAGTCCGTATTGCCCAGCGACAGCCCCGAAACCTGAAGGATCTGGAGAAGGTCTGTATGGAGGAGTGGGCCAAAATCCCTGCTGCAGTGTGTGCAAACCTGGTCAAGACCTACAGGAAACGTATGATCACTGTAATTGCAAACAAAGGTTTCTGTACCAAATATTAAGTTCTGCTTTTCTGATGTATCAAATACTTATGTCATGCAATAAAATGCAAATTATTTACTTTAAAATCATGCAATGTGATTTTCTGGATTTTTGTTTTAGATTCCGTCTCTCACAGTTGAAGTGTACCTATGATAAAAATTACAGACCTCTACATGCTTTGTAAGTAGGAAAACCTGCAAAATCGGCAGTGTATCAAATACTTGTTCTCCCCACTGTATATGCATGTTGGTCACAGATACCTTTAAAAAAAATGTAGGGGCGTGGATCAGAAAACCAGTCAGTATCTGGTGTGAACACCATTTGCCTCATACAGCCCAACATCTCCTTAACATAGAGTTGATCAGGCTGTTGATTGTGGCCTGTGGAATGTTGTCCCACTCCTCTTCAATGGCTGGATATTGGCAGGAACTGGAACACACTGTCGTACATGTCGATCCAGAGCATCCCAAACATGCTCAATGGGTGACATGTCTGGTGAGTATGCAGGCCATGGAAGAACTGGCACATTTTCATCTTCCAGGAATTGTTTACAGATCCTTGCGACATGGGGCTGTGCATTATCATGCTGAAACATGAGGTGATGGCAGCGAATGAATGGCATGACAATGGGCCTCAGGATCTCGTCACGGTATCTCTGTGCATTCAAATTGCCATCGATAAAATGCAATTGTGTTCGTTGTCTGTAGCTTATGCCTACCCATACCATAACCCCACCATGGGGCACTCTGTTCACAACGTTGACATCAGCAAACGCTCGGCCACACAACGCCATACACGTGGTCTGCGGTTGTAAGGTCGGTTGGACATATTGCCAAATTCTCTAAAATGACGTTGGAGGCGGCTTATGGTCGAGAAATGAACATTCAATTCTCTGGCAACAACTGTGGTTGACATTCCTGCAGTCAGTTTGCCAATTTCACGCTCCCTCTAAACTTGAGACGTCAGTGGCATTGTGTTGTGTGACAAAGTGGCCTTTTATTGTCCACAGCACAAGGTGCACCTGTGTAATGATCATGCTGTTTAATCAGCTTCTTGATATGCCACACCTGTCACGTGTATGGATTATCTTGGCAAAGGAGAAATGCTCACTAACAAGGATGTAAACAAATTTGTGCTAAAAAATTTAGAGAAATAACCTTTTTGTGCGTATGGAACATTTTTGGGATCTTTTATTTCAGTTTATAAAACATGGGACCAACACTTTCCATGTTGCGTTGTGAAAGAAATGCTATAACCACCCCCCCAGCCACATCTAGCTAAGTGGATGGGTCACTATTGTCTAGACATGTACACATGTTCATGAAATAGAATAGATGGCCGTAATCACACCCAGCCACACCTGGTTAACTTGATGGGTCATGTAATCATCTGGCGAAGTGGAGTCTTTTGTTTAGACATGTAGCTAACTAGCTAAACAATTAACCATAATCCCAACCCATACAATACTAGCAATACAAATGGATTGTCATAGCTAGCCACCATGCATGAAATGCTGTAGTATGAATCTGCAGGTAGTTAAAGCTAACCAACTAGGTTCAATGTTAGCTAGCTAGCTAACATTAAGCGATAACTAGCAATGCAATTGCATTTCTGAGATATGAATAAGATTACTACACAGATCATACGTTCGCTAGCTAACTGTACTCTTTAACTTGCAATGAAAATGACTTCTGCCAAAATTAGAAACGTATAATATCTGAAAATGTAGCTAGACTCTTATCCATATACATGGAGGAACGCTTCACGGCAGACCGGAACCCCTTTAACTAAGTAAGACGTCCTGTGTCTTTTTTGTTTTGTTTGTATAGCTTGTTTGGCCCATTGTGTCAAGTCACTCCGGTTCACACTGACCGTGTGCATACAGTAGTCCATCACAACTTTTTCCCACTGATCTTTGTCGATAGCGCCTGCTAAATTCAGGGCAGCAATGTTGTTGAGAGCAGTAGCAACACTTTTGCAGTTCTCCATGACTAACGTTATATCTTTCAAAAAATGGGTCACATTTTCTCTGATCTTTGCTCTCTCTCCCTTCACTCTCTATCTCTCTCCATTTCTTCTTTTATGTTTGTAATGCTGTCTGTCTCCATGCGTGTGTGTGTGTGTGCAGGTATACTCTCTGATGAGGAGGTGTTGGGAGAATGCCCCGGAGAACAGGATCCAGTTCAAAGGCCTGATCACAGAGCTGGAGACGCTGCTGGACGAGAGGCACAGAGATAGATTGGCTGTCTGAACTGATAGAGCTCACACATGGATGGATATATAATAATTCATATTACAATAATATAATATACACTGAGTATACCAAACATTAGGAACACCTTCCTAATATGGAGTTTTGCCCTTAGAACAGCCTCAATTCGTTGGGGCATGGACCCTACAAGGTGTCGAAAGCGTTCCACAGGGATGCTGGCCCATGTTGACTCCAATGCTTCCCACAGTTGTCAAGTTGTCTGGAAGTCCTTTGGGTGGTGGATCATTCTTGATACACACGGGAAACTGTTGAGCGTGAAAAACCCAGCAGCGTTGCAGTTCTTGACACAAACCGGTGCGCCTGGCACCTACTACCATACACCGTTCAAAGGCACTTACAGTGAGGGGAAAAAAGTATTTGATCCCCTGCTGATTTTGTATGTTTGTCCACTGACAAAGAAATGATCAGTCTATAATTTTAATGGTAGGTTTATTTGAACAGTGAGAGACAGAATAACAACAACAAAATCCAGAAAAACCATGTCAAAAATGTTATAAATTGATTTGCATTTTAATGAGGGAAATAAGTATTTGACCCCCTCTCAATCAGAAAGATGTCTGGCTCCCAGGTGTCTTTTATACAGGTAACGAGCTGAGATTAGGAGCACACTTTTAAAGGGAGTGCTCCTAATCTCAGTTTGTTACCTGTATAAAAGACACTTGTCCACAGAAGCAATCAATCAATCAGATTCCAAACTCTCCACAATGGCCAAAACCAAAGAGCTCTACAAGGATGTCAGGGACAAGATTGTAGACCTACACAAGGCTGGAATGGGCTACAAGACCATCGCCAAGCAGCTTGGTGAGAAGGTGACAACAGTTGGTGCGATTATTCGCAAATGGAAGAAACACAAAAGAACTGTCAATGATCTCAAGGCAGCTGGGACCATAGTCACCAAGAAAACAATTGGTAACACACTACGCCGTGAAGGACTGAAATCCTGCAGCGCCCGCAAGGTCCCCCTGCTCAAGAAAGCACATATACATGCCCGTCTGAAGTTTGCCAATGCCCATTGTCAAACATGGAGGTGGAAACATTATGCTTTGGGGGTGTTTTTCTGCTAAGGGGACAGGACAACTTCACTGCATCAAAGGGACGATGGACGGGGCCATGTACCGTCAAATCTTGGGTGAGAACCTCCTTCCCTCAGCCAGGACATTGAAAATGGTTCGTGGATGGGTATTACAGCATGACGATGACCCAAAACACACGGACAAGGCAACAAAGGAGTGGCTCAAGAAGAAGCACATTAAGGTGGAGTGGCCTAGCCAGTCTCCAGACCTTAATCCCATAGAAAATCTGTGGAGGGAGCTGAAGGTTCGAGTTGCCAAACATCAGCCTCGAAACCTTATTGACTTGGAGAAGATCTGCAAAGAGGAGTGGGACAAAATCCCTCCTGAGATGTGTGCAAATCTGGTGGCCAACTACAAGAAACGTCTGACCTCTGATTGCCAACAAGGGTTTTGCCACCAAGTACTAAGTCATGTTTTGCAGAGGGGTCAAATACTTATTCCCTCATTAAAATGCAAATACATTTATTTATTTTTCTGGATTTTTGAACTTCACTGTTCAAATAAACCTACCATTAAAATTATAGACTGATCATTTCTTTGTCAGTGGGCAAACGTACAAAATCAGCAGGGGATCAAATACTTTTTTCCCTCACTGTACATTTTTTGTCTTGCACATTCACCCTCTGAATGGCACACATACTCAATCCATGTCTCAAGGCTTAACCTGTCTCCTCCCCTTCATCTACACTGATTGAAGTGGATTTAACAAGTGACATCAATAAGGGATCATAGCTTTCACCTGGTCAGTCTATGTCATGGAAAGAGCAAGTGTTCTTAATGTTTTGTATACTCAGTGTATATGCCATTTAGCAGACGCTTTTATCCAAATGGATGGATAGACTGGCAGACTGACAGGCAGGCAGACAGATGAGCAGATGGATGGAGTGATGTCAGCCAGCAAAAACAGACAGACGGACAGACAAATGTCAGTTAACAGAAATAGACAGACGTATGTTTGCACAGACAGACTGACAGACAGACTGACATCGACTACTACGTAAACTATAGAAATAGACGTAAACTAGCACAGACAGACAGACAGACAGATGTCAACCATCACAGACAGACAAAGACATACAGAAAGCACAGAAGGACAAAAGCTCACTTTTGTCGACAGAGATAACAAGCAATATCTTTTTTTTACAATACAGAAACAAATCACCCGGATGTGGGCTTGATTGATATACTTTTCCACATACTGTACATATACAGTAACTCAAACGTATTCTGACCTTCAAATGCATGTTGCTGTCATATTCTATATTTTCTATAGTACAGTATTTGTTTCTATTGATGCACATTGTAAGTAATAGTACCCTTTTGGATAACTGAGTTAGTTCATTGTGTAAGAATGAAAGACATTGAGGCGGTAACGCGCGTTAGCCGACAGATAGCTTTTCATAACTTTTGTTTAGGCGGTGTTAGAGGTATAACCAATTATGTTTACAAACCCTGGATTGCTGATGATATGTATTCGCCAATGAGAGGCTTTGAAGCCACCGGTCGGCTATATTGGCACTCCCCAGAAGGAGCAGTCCTTCATAGGAATGAATGGAATCCTACAGTATTTCAATTAAATGTTTCAAGGACAAAATTACATGTATTGAAGTACTTTTGTTGTTGTAGTGGGGACATTAACATTAGCACATTTTTTATATATATACTTTAAGGAAAATGTTTTCATAAAGTTTTACATTTGTTATGTTTAGCTCACATAATATATTTTAAAAGTATGCATTAAGTTGTCTGTAATAGAATAAACGTGGCAAAAACAAATGCAGACATTAAGGCATTATATTGCTTCCAAACATGTTTTTACAATGGTGTGGGAGCGCCCCCTGCCAGTCATCTAGTGTATATATACATTATTGGGTGTGAAGTTTACTACAAGCTCTATGCAGACGCAGTGTCGTGTTTTTCATCACCGAAGGGGTGGCCTTGTAAAACGCTCCATCATTTGACATACTTTTTACTACCTGAAAATTGAGACACACTGTATCATTCCTTCCACAGCCGTGGTGGTGGTGTTGTCGCTTGGTTCCTTGATCTAATCTGTAGGCTATAGAGGCTATTCATCAAAGTAGCCCATTTTGCATTGATGTCAAAATATAATCTCAGTGACTGTTCAAACAGTAAACCAAACAACAAGAATCCACCCAAAAAGGCATTTAATTTAGAAGTAATAACTAGTGATTACAGACTATTTTGAAATGGTAGAATCTACTGTAGTCAACTAGCTAACCATGTGCTTTTTTCTCCATTACCAAAACATGATGTTCTATTTTTAGCTGATATGGGAATGAATACACAAGCAGCATATTAATCTGGGATCATGTTTTAGGTTACACCAGTAAGTATACACATATTTGCCAGGGCATATTTTTTCATTATAAAACGGATTATTTCACTTGGAGATGTGGGAAGCTAAAAAGGCAAGCTAGCTTGAAATGTTTTTAGCCAGCTAGCCATGCTGCCAGCTAGCTACTACTAGCAAGGGAAGGCGATTCTTCCTTGCCTTCACAAAATGAAAATACAAAAATATTAACTTTACTATCGCCTCCTTGTGAATGGGAGTGGGACCGTCGATGATTTCATGTTAACAAAGGTGTACGTAGATCAACGGAGTGAAGCTTGTAGTAACATTTACTGCGTTAGACCTGTCAAATCTGTGAGCCTAATTGAGGTGTAGATTACATCACACATTGCATGGGATTTCTACTCATGACTAGGTGCATCCAATGGCGATAGGTAACGCAGGAGGCACTTGTGGATTTGACAGCTCTAACGTAGTTATACCTCCGACACCTTCTAAACAAAAGCAATGAAAAGCAATGCATTTTGTCGGCTAACGCGGGTTACCGCTGATTTGATAGAATCCTGGCATGAATCTTTAAGGCATTCACTTTTAATATTATTTAATAATATACTAAGGATTCTAAACTGCGAGAATATCTCCTACAATTTTGGGCCGATTGTCTTCATTTTGGCCTCAAAAGAAGCGTGTCATCCTCCAAATTGGGATTATCCACTTTATATTCCACTGTGTTTTGTATTCATTTTCCAGGTTTATATGTTTGGAATGGCACGGTTACTATTGCATCATCCTGCCAATACTCTGAATCGATATTCACGTCATACAAAGGAATTCCCCTCGACCACGACCAACAAATTGGGGAAAACAAACATTCTTTCCCATTGACCCCCATTGTAAAAGAGCCAACTTCGTTGTTTATTTTTTGTTATACAGAAAAGGATGAAAAGCTACTGTGTTGTTCAATGTAACCAGGTAGGGCTGGCGTTATGCCCGACCAAATAAAATATTGAAATATTGATAATTTATTTGACCGAGACGCACGCCGACAGAAAGACGCATCAATCTCAGATAAAGCATCCGAGCAAGCGAAACAGCGCCCATCTGTCTCAATACTGTATGTGTAGAACATGTATATGATGCTGTCTGGACCAAAGTAATATGGCATGTCATACAATTTCTGTCCAGACAGCATCAGATCCATGGGCTACATGTAGTAAGGCAGGGTGGCGCTGTTTCGCTTACTCGGATGCTTTCTCCGGTGAGAGTTTCACTCGCGAGAAGGCTCACTCTTACCTAAATCTGTCCAGAATAAGCCCAATGCATTTTTATTGGCATAATATGCAGACCTAATTTGTCGCCTGCCTCCCCACCTTTGGGACAACGACTCGCATTTATTAGGGCGGAAACATGAGCATCTCGTCATTATATATACAGATCTCTGGTTTAAATCTCTTGCGAATTGGAAATGAAAGTTGGCGGGTGCACAGTGCACTGTTAGGATGCTGGCTTCCCCTAAAGTAAATTGATGTTTTGCCCAAATTATATAATTACTCATGTCTAAATAAAAACATTAAAAATACTTCACCAGAGAG